TAATAATAATAATAATAATAATAATAATAATAATAATAATAATAATAATATATAGCTATGGGTGTGGGTGCTTTAGGGGCTACAGGTCCCTAGATATTGCTGCCAGTGCTTTTGATCCTCTTTGGATGTTGGCTGCCTTTTGTTCTATTCTCTGTTAACATTTTCTGTTGGTGTTCTATTGGTTGTGTTGCTTTCCTTTTGAATATGGTATACACTACTTTTTGTGTCATTGAGGTCCCAGTGCTTCTGCCCTATTTTTTTTTGTCTGATCATTTGTGATTCGTTTTACCACAGCTTTATTTAATGATATCTGAAAATCAAATATCTGTAATTTTACTGATCAGTAAATCAGTCAATCTTTATTGACAGACTTTGCATCCATAGTGAAAAAACAACAACACCCCCAAAACAAAACAAAAAAACAACACAACATGTAAGACTGCACTTAAAATGAAGAGTGATAAGTCTGTGTGTTTGGCAGTTTTTGACCAGCAGGTGGCGAGGGAGGTCTGTGTGCACATGAAGCCTGAGGATTAAACTCTTTTGCAATCAAATTGGCTGAAAGACTTCATGAAGCTTCATTTAGCTGTCACTAGCTCGAGCTGGTCCTTAAATACTGGATGCCTGATGAGTAAACAGGTGTGACAGGTTAAGTGGGAACCTCCACCCAGGACTCCACCCAGTGGGTGGGTCTGGACAGGACCTGCCCAACATTTTCAGAAACAGCAGGTGAAGAGAACACAAAAACAGACAACATCCTTAACCAGCCGGGGCCCATGAGACACTGTTTTACAGCTATAGCTGTCATACTTTCTGCGCTTTGGATCTTTACTATTTTCTGAGCCAAAACTCCCACCTTGTCTTTATTACTGACTGCCATTCAAGAAACTCCAAACAGAGGCCAATACTGAAAAATATAAATCAATGACTGAAAACAGCAAAACACACAAACCACGAGAGAGCTGATGGTTAACTTAAGGTTGTGGTCGAATCAAATCTCTTAATACGTAATTTTTCTGCTTCTATGGAATGGAAAAGGGTCTTTCGTTGTATTCAGACAAAGAAACCACAAAGGGAGGGGACGCGAGTTTCATTTTACTGTAAACTGAGTGAAGTGTCATTATTAAGTCTCAGTCAAATATGACCAATTGAAAGAATGAAGGGTGCATCTGTCCTGTGGCTGCTGTGTAAGTACACCACATATTCTTTTGTCAGATTATTGTGAAACTTAAACTAACTGAGTGTTATTCTATTTAGGGTTGATCTCCCTGCTGTGTGGCTCAACAAATCAAGGTTAGTTCACTTTGTTTTATTCTACCAGGAAACCCCACTTTATACAATTACATGTTTAAATACAACATGGTGTACAAAAAACAAACGAATGTTTTAAGATATGCTTTCACTTACCAGAACATATAATTTCACAGGCCTCCGTAGTTTTCCCATGAATTATTTCCATGTAGCTCGTAACTGAGCTGAGACAGAAAAAGGTACAGAGATAAGCTAAAGGTTTAAGTATCAAGGTTAATACAATAAAAATAAAATAAAAGGTAATTTCTGGTGGCAGTTTCAGTGGGAAGTGATTCAGAGACATAAATATAGATATGCATCTAAATCTGGATTTTTTTTAAATGAAGGCTTCATAACAAAGATGTAGTCAAATGCATAAAAGTTGCTTCAACAAGGTACTCTTGGTTTATATGCTCTCTGTGAGTATGACTCTTGTTTTGATAACTACAGTTCACAGATACAACCAATCATTAATTAATGGTTAAAAAGCGTAAGGCTAGAAGGATATATGCTCGCTGAATGTGCATGCATGATTATGTGTTTTTTTAAATCGTGGTTTACTGCTATATACTTTATAGTGAAGTGACTGATTCACAGGAAACCAAAGACAAAGAAGCCTAAATGCAGTCATGTCCAGTTGTCTTTGTACAAACTAGTTTACATTTTAGGAATTCAAAGTGACGAAGGATTTTTTCCCCTCACACCCTTTCAAAGGCCTATTTAAGGGGTTAAGACTTGGTTTTAGGGGTAACAGGTTTGGCAAAGCATTAATAAGAGTAAATGTCCTCACAAATATAGCCAAACATACATGCCTGTGTGTGTGTTTGTATAACACTTCATGTATACACAGCAGGCAGCAGCTGTCGTGGAGGAAGCAGCGGTAACAGAGGAACCTTTCGTCCAAATAACCTCAAAATGGAACTTGCTCACGTCCACAAAATACCCCGACAGTCTTGTAGTGAATCTGATGAAGGGTCGTTGAGCTGAGCAAGGAAAAGATGCAATTAGAGACAGATTTCTCAAATCATTAGATGATATCCAGCTAAAAGGAAGTATTTAAAAAAAGCTTCAGCAATTTTGCCCAACGTAATAATAAAAAATACCTGATGGAAAATTGATTGATTGTTTCCTGTGAAATCCGGTGGTGTTGATACTGAAGTTTTGTATTTACACATAAAAGTACTGTCTCCATGTCATTTTGAGGCTGAGCTGCTGGGGGGGGGGGCGGCGGCAGTGCATTGAATGCTTTGCTGTGGCCAAGAAACCCTCTTAAATGCATGCACAAGATAGCAGTCACCACAGTTCAGGTTGGTTAGCCCCTCACTGATGATATGACCCGAGTTTATAATGCACAACCTTGTGAATGTTGAAAAAAAAAGAGCCACACTCGTCAGCTTCGGACTTCGACTGCAAACTTAAACTTATAGCTACTGTTCGGTCGGTGGGTTGTGGTTGGAGACCCAGCTTTCATCAGCAGTGATTAGTCTTGACAAAAAAGGTCACATTAGATGTGAACGTGGGTCATTCAGTAGTAAAATAACTAAAGCTCTGCAACCTTTTACCTTTTATACTATGAATATTTTCTAGTTAAGAGGGCTCTGAAATTCTGCCTCATTTTATTTTTTTCCAGCATTTCAGAGCCTTCTTAACAATGTCTGCATAAACGGACTGGCAGACTGACTCCATAACAACAAGAAAAGAGAATTCACATAACCTTTTTCGACCTGCAGAAAGAAAGGTGACCACCATTGCACCTTCTGCAACAGCTGTTGCTCACTTACCCACAACATCCTGTTCAGCTTGATGACAGACACTGTTTCCTGATTTTGAAGCATTTAGATAAGTAAACTGGGCATCTCTCATCTCAGAAAACATCCTGTGTAGATGGTGTGCTCTGCGCCTTGAATCTTGACCTAACCTGCTACTCACCCATCACCACAAACTATATATAAACTTTCCATTCCAAATAAAAAATGAACATATTTAGACTTGACAATTGAGTGATAAATGAATGCTAGCATGCTTGGTTAGAAACCCGCATTCACAAACTGGATACACTGCAAAGACACTTATGTTTTAATTGATACTAAGTAACATACCAATCCAATTCCTACAACTTCAGTTATTAAAACTGAAAAATCAACGGTCTGCACCACACAGGAGGCTCAATAACATAATTTAAATGCTTCAAATAGAGCCAGCAGCTCAATCATGCTTCAGAGGTTCAGTTGAGTGACTTTGATTAACTGAGGTAAAGCCGTACAGACTTTGGCATCTATAGCAGCCGATATCACCATCCAACTATCAGTCTAACGTGCCACACCTGGCCAATCCTCAACAAAATCCAAGTGGATTAGTTAAATAAAAGAATTTATGTTATGAAAACAAGGGAAACTACCCAAAAAACCCAAACATTGTTTTGTAGCAGGCTGTTAATATTTGTTTTTCTGCTCTTGCTCTTGACGAAGGCGGTCGCACTTTTCTCCTCTCCTCCTCCTCCTCTTCCTTAGCTTCCCTGCTTAGCCTCTTATGTCTTTGTCTAGTCTCGTGTTTTTTGTATTACTTTTCCCTGGAACACTCTCTCACAGTCTGTTCTCTAAAACCTAAAAGAGGAATTATGGATTGGATCAACTGGTCCCTGAATGCAATTGACACCCCTCTCTCAATGAGAAGTTTGAGCTTGGGTGAGCCTGAGTGCTGAAGATATCTACCTATTTGGAATCACGGTAACAGGGTTCTGGCAGATCGGAGCTGGCTTGGCCCTGACTTATTGAAGAATTAAGAAAGCGGAACCGGCTGTTCAAACCCCCACAAGGCTGCCCGCTGGGATTGGAACGATGGGAGAGGCGTGAGTTTCTCAAAATGGGCTCATTGAGTGCAGCACGGATAAGATCTTGGAGAAGCTACGGCTGCTGTGAATACTCAGAATAAGATCTCTGACTGCAGACTGGATACATCTCGGAAGGGCTAGCTTGGAATAACATCTCTGGGCGCAAATTGGATGACATCTCGGGGGAGGCACACTGCCGTGAGTTCTCAGAATCGGCTCCTTGAGTACATGAAATGACAACATCACAGAACGCAAGTATGGCGAAGCTCGCGGCTCTCCAACGGGAGATTGAGAGACCAGTGCTGGACTGTAGAACTGCTTTGAAATTCATATGAGCTGTTCGCACTAAAGTAAAAAGCGCCATCACTTCATGCGGATACCCCTTTGGCGCCAGCTGCGGTCTCAAGGCTGGAGCTGAACAAAAACACCCTGATAACGACTGTGTTTAGACTGTTCCTTCCCATTCCATGCAAGGCCACTTGGGTTGGCTGGAAGACTGTTTACTTAGCCTAGCAGGGCGAAGGACACTGTCTCAGCTGAACTCTGGACACGCACACACATACATATACACTGATATGCACACACTCATCCCCCCTCCCTTTCCAAACGCCTTCGACGCTTATTCCCTTCCGATGCTGCACCCTTTACCCACCCCTGTTGCTTCTCGTGTGTTTCTTTGGTGTATTAAAAGTTTTTTCATGTGCTGAGGTGTTTTTTTCTGTTCTCAAACTGATCTCCCTGTTGGAGCTCAGTGTGGGGGGAGTTATTTTTTTCTCCTTATCTTTTCTCATGTGGTGCATTTTCCATTGTTATACCTCTCTGACCTGTCTTCCCCATGTGATGTTTTGTGTAATGTATGCATAGTCGGAGGGTAAGATGGCGCAGCCATTGCGTGCAATAGGTCAGCAGCCTTATGAAATTTCCCCTTGTGGGACTAATAAAGGTATATCAATTCAATTAACATGTTTATTTCTGCTTTAAAGTTGAACATTTTAACATGTGACTGCCCCACTTTTGGAGCCAGTCTCAGGTGGACATTAAAATAACTGCAGCATTTGGCGGTTTCATTTCTCCGTTCTGAAGGATTCCACTTCACTGACATTCCATTTGGTGTGGATTTCTTTTTTAACCTTTAGCAACAATCACTCTGCACTATGAATCTTCTGCACTATGAATCTTCTGCAATTAACTGCAATCACCCGAGTCACAAAGACTATAAAATGCCCCACAATGTCCTCAGGTTTCAACTGTGAAACTAAGGGCTGCACTACTCTATGACAAACCTATTATTCATTATAGCTTTACTACATGTTTTGGTAATCATTCTGACAACTTCAGATCTCAAATTCAAAGATAATTGGCATACTTCCTCCAGGAGATATTTGAAGAGACTGATGGGTATCCTTAATGAAGATTATAAACTGATGTCCTCAGGAAAAGCTACAGGTTACCAAATTATTAGTTAAATAGGCACAAAATATCTTAAGTGCTTTTATCAATCAAACTGACAGATGAAATTGTGAATGAGCGTTTGTATGTTTTATCTCATATGATGAGATTCCAAGACCCAGGGGATATAAGAAATTCCAGTCTAACCTAATGTAATCTAATCCTGAATAACTGTGGTTGCATGGAGTTTAACCATACCCTAGATAAACCTGGATAAATGGGAGTGATCCCAAACAACTACTGCCCTTAAAAACCACCTTCCATACTTAAATGTTGGTGTTTGTGGATGGTTCTGTGTGCATTAATTGTTTCACTGTAATTCTCAGAGACAATCTGATGGCTGCCTCAGGGTTTTGTAAATGTGCATAATCCATATCTTCCCCACAGCTCGTCTGACTGTGAGCCCCAGCAGCTCTCAGCTGTTTGAAGGTGACTTTTTGTCTCTGAGCTGTGAGGCTGAGGACTGCCCTGCTGGATGGACTGTGAGGAGGAACACGCCCAAACGACAAAGGAGTCGGTGTGGAGATGGGTGGGGAAAACAAGTCGGTTCGTGTTGTACCATCACCTACATCTTCAGAAGGGACAGTGGTGTTTACTGGTGTGAGTGCGGAGAGGGAATAAGCAGTAACACCGTCAACATCACTGTGACTGGTAAGAATATTGTGTGTAGTTAGTGTTGGTGAAGCTGTGTGTCAGTGGATGAAATGCTGTAGTTTGTGTCTGTGTGGAGGTGGCCGAGTGATCCTGCAGAGTCCTGTGCTTCCTGTGATGGAGGGAGACAGCATCACGCTGCTCTGTAAATCAAAGCCCCCACATTCAAACCTCTCAGCTGTTTTCTATAAAGATGGCTCCGTCATCAGGACTGAGTCAACAGGTCACATGACCATTCCTCATGTTTCCCTGTCTGACGAAGGCCTCTACAAATGTCACATCAGTCAACATGGGGAGTCTCCACCCAGCTGGATCACTGTCACAGGTAATTTTCAGTATGATCAACATTTATTTCATCCATAGATGGACATAGATAGCATGAGGTCACCCATTAGTCAGTGAAGTCCCAATATGAGACCTCAGGCTTTTTAGCTATCACCACTTCGATGTTTTCAAACCTGCAGGTCGGATCCAACCAAAGACTTTAATTGGCTAAAGACTTCTTATGTGTTCTGTTTAACCTGAAACTACCCAATAAAGTAATCAGGAAGGTACTTAGTGAGGTCGCAGAGTGAGGAAGCTGAGTTTCCCATAGACCTCTACACCATCCAAAGGTTTTTTTTCCTACCACAGGAGTTGCCCCCTGGTGGCCACTGGATAGCGTCACTTTTCAGACGAGATCTGAAAGTTGCGTCCATCTAAGATTACCATCTTAGATTTCATCCATGAATCACCTGAACAGTGCCATTCTCTTTACAGGTAAACCTACAACTACAGCCCCGCCTTCCACATTATCCCCACCCTCTACATCAACCCTGTCTTCTGCCTCAACTTTGCTTTCTGTCTCAACCCCAATGACCACACCGATCCAATCCACTGCCATGGCGTCTCCTTCTGCCACAGCTCTGCCTACTGATTCAGCTCCACCAGCTGTCTCCATTCACCGACCACTTGTCTTGAGAGTGGTCTGCCACCTGGTGGTGTTCTGTCCATATGTCATCACAACTGTCCTAATGGTGTCTTTATATCGACAAAGACCCACAGGTAACTTTCACTGTCAGATGATCAATCTATTAAAGGGGATCTGTTGTGTTTTTGTTTATTTTCTGTCATAATTGTATGCATGCAGCTACGGTGGTGGACTTTGCCATATATAAAGACTATTAGAGGCCTGAAACGGCCAAAGTTAGAACAATTAATGAAGAGAGGACACAAACACAGAACAGAGAAGACCTGTTAAAAAAATCCAAAATCTAAATCTTTATTTAAAAATTGTAGGCAGTTTGGCACAGATAGGCAGTCTGCATAGTATATAATATAAAGAAAACAAACTGAGAAACAAGCATGGGATCATACATGGAAACACTGAAACTAGCAAACACACTGGGAATGTCGGGAGAGCCTCGAAATCCGAGATACTGTAAGAACAAAGACAATCTGATCTATCAGTCTAATTCTCAGGTGTAAGTAAGACAAATTGAGCACAGGTGAAGCTGTGTTGATTACTTTGAAGTGTAAATCATGCAAAGCAACTTTAGAAGGGCCTTAGAAGAAAAATACAGATGTGGAAATAGGTCCCCTTAAATTCTGATTGTTTTTCTCACTTATTATTACCTCATTATGACTGAACTCTTTGTCTCCATAGCAACAGCGCCACACCCCCACCCTGAGCAGAAACTGACAGAGGACTTTGACATCATGGAGGTCACCATCGAGCATCATTTCTAAACTGTACAGAACAGAGAAATATTTTTGTCATGTAAAAGTAATAAATATTAGATTAAATAGATCTGATATTTTATGGCAGCACAAAGTCATGTATAATGTTGGAGGTAAACAAAGTGCAGTTTTTTGACTGCATATTCATATCTACAAGCCCAGTTTATTACCAAAGACTGCTGCCAGTGATTGTACAAATGAGAGAAACAAACATTTAAAAACACTCTATGTGAGACTATAAAAGATTACTCTTACTGATGTTTTTATCTGATGGTGGGTGCACCAGTTTTTGAGAAGTATCTGTCCATTTGTGGTGAGAATTCTACTTTAGAAAACAAGGGTGGATTGCTTGGTCCCTCTTCTTTGCACCAGGATCCTTTTCCTCATGTCCTGAACATCTGGGCTCAGGGTGTAAATAAATCCTCTTTTGTCTCCATCAGTGTATGAAGAACATGCACCTGTCATTTGCTCTTTCCTGTTAAACAAAAACCAAAACACATAATAAAACAAATGATCAGAGACTTAGAACCTGTGTCAGAGGTGACAGACGTCTATAGGAGCAAAAGTCATTTAGCAGCCAATGTAGTCTCCCCCTAGTGGCCTTTAAACAGAATGCAGGCTTAAGGAAAACATTTTTGAACAGATTGAAAGATCATGACTACGTCAGGAAATGCCGTGAGTGCCATGAAGCACTAAAGGAACCACTGAAGCACCTTTTCTCAGTCTGTTGACACTCTGAACAGCTCTTATTGTTGCTGGCAGTCACATAGATCAGGGTCGTGCTGCTCAGTGAGCATTTAAACAGCTTCTCCTGTTGAACATTTCCACCTTCTGTGCTGTTTTGATTTCCTAATAAAAAAATGGCTGAATTAAGCTCCAGGGAAAAATGTTTCACATGTATGAAGCACTTTTCTTGTGTTACAAGCTGCTACAAATTTATATATTACAATAAGTCATCTTTTTTCAGTTGAATTAAACTAGCTTTTTTGTGGCTCAAAATTGGCTGAGGGACTGAATTTTTGCCCTTCGATGAACAAAAAAATACTCTGAAACTGTTGAACCTGCCATGAAGAAAACTTGTTAAAAGCACACTCCTGTGCTTCCTTACGGCAGGTAAGAAAAAAATGTGACTTTAACCAAACCTATAATTGTGTGCTAGCAAAAATAAATACATACAAAATGTCCTTAACATTTTTTAAATCAAACTGATCCATTTTATCATTAGGCTGGTATATATGTGTATCGTCACACCTATCTTCCATTTGACAGTCCTCATATACTCAATTAAAAACTAAAACAGACACTGAAACTAACAAAAGCTAAACATTTAAAGAGGAAACAAAAATGTAAACTAATAAAAAAAAATAAAACGCAAATTCTGCTCTACATTATCTTTATGTGAACCATAAAGATTCAACAAGAGCGGCACACTCAAGTGAAAGAATAAATAGATCTTTATTGGTCTCAGGGTCATGATTGTACAGAGCATGTGCAGAACATACAAAAGAAACGATGGCACTTGGAATGTTCCATTGTAAAAAAATTTAAAAAAAAAAAAAGCACAGTTCATAGCAATATACAGACTCACAAAGGAAGAACAAATATTCAAAGTTTGTTTCAAGGCTTTAGTGTCATCATGTCATCATCACAGTAAAAAGTATGGATGCTTTGCCCTTTGTAGAATACTAAACCCAAACTTTTTTGGACCAAGGAAGTAGAAAAACAAACACAAAAACAATGTTAAATAGTGTAACATAGGAAAGCACATTGAAAGACATGAAACTGTCGCTATAAATATAATGATAGGGCCACTTATCATTACCCTTTTGTTAGAGATACCAAGGAAATTTCATTAACCAGGTAAAAATGTGATCATGTACCTGAAAACATCCATTTCAACAGTTAAAGAGCAGTTATTATTGCTACAAAAATGTATACTCTGTATGTGCCTAATGCATTTCTTGGGGAGTCAAAAAACATACAGTATGGTCCCACAAATTCACTGTAATCAGGCCATGAAGCAGAAAACGACAGAAGATAAAAACGTAAGGCATGAATCACCTTTCTTTCCTTTAGTGATAAGCAGCTGGTAGCCAATGTCCCACAGCCCTCTGACTATGATCCTTCACATTCAACTTTCAACATTTGATAAAGTATCTAATAAAGTGCCCTAATGCTTAATGGGCACATTGTCTACCATACAGTATCACATAATACATAACCACATCTGGAATGCTACTCAAAGTTAAAGACTTCTATTATTCAGTATAATGCAGTGCTTTAGTGAAAATACAATAATGCTTAAATACTTGAACAGCTTGGGGTCGACTGGCGATTTACTTTGTGAACTCTGTAAACATCTCCCAGACGAGTTCATGCTGTCAGTCACCTTTTTCTAGTCTTACGAAATAAACATGATGCTCACTTTCTAAACCATGATCCCCATGAGAGTCATAAGGGAGATGAAGCAGGGTAATACCTTAAGCGTGTGGGTACCCTGTAAGTAAACTCAGTTTTTCAGAGAGATCCATCCCTCATTGTCATGTCCAGTTCAAAAACATCAAGACGGTGTCAGTAAAAATCCCTCATAATTTAAATCTTACTAAACAATTTACGGGACTTTTCCCTCTTAGCACCACAACACTGTTGTTTTTGGCAGCTAGAACAACCTAAAGACAAAACGGATCTGCAAACATGAAAACATTTTACTGGCAGAAAGTAACTTCAATAAAAACGTGTTTCTCTTTTCAGGAAAGTTGTGCTTGGATGTAAAACACAGAAAATTCTGTCGGGAAAACGTAGGACCTTTTTTCATTTAGGAGTTTTAAAAGCACCTTTATACTAAAAACCAAATAAATAAATAAGAAAAAGTTTCAGTGCATTATAATAAATACTTTTGCATAAGGTTTACACATTTAGTGTGGTTCATGTTGTGAAGTAAAGCTTTGAAAGAAACTTAATTTGGACTCGTTCCAAATTTGGTGCATGAACTTGTTGTGCGCCATAATGTTTGCTCTGTTGACTTCGTTATGAAATATAAATTCTTTCGGTAATTTTTTTTTAACCAAAGTTAAAGTTTCATTCTCGATGGGCTCCACAGCGCTCTTAATGGTAAACAGTGCAAAGAAATCTCTAAAAAAATCCCAGCCAATCTATCACGTGACATATATACAGCCAGCATTAGAAAACATATGACAAAGGCACAAATCAAAGTGGTTCCGAGCCGAACCACAATCTGAATTTGCTTAATGTAGGTTAAACGATAAATGGATCCGAGCTTCTATTATTCTACTCTAATTAACTTCTCTGTGCTTTTCACTACAAGCCACACCTCAGCTTTTAACCCCTTAGCAGTCCTATTAGTCCCCTAAACCATCCAATGTCCCGTGGGCGGTACGTCCGACTGCTAACAGTTTAACTGTCATTTTAAGTTTTAGATGTTTGGAATAAATTTGAGGGTCTTTCTAATTTAGACATGCTGAGATGTTGATGTCATTTCATAGTGGGGGGAAGCTGAGGATCCAATGTTAGTTTGGCACCTAATATAGATTAAGAGAATACCAGCCACCAGAATGATCCCTGAATAACTGACAGTGACACAATGAGACCAAGATGGTTTCTTCCTGTAGCTGCGCCACGGCTGACTCCATTCCTGCTTCCTTCATCTGTCGAGAAAAAAAATGCATTGGTGTGAATTGTCAGGAGTCAGGGAGGTGAAAACTCTTTTAAAGTGTCATCATTTGACATGAGCACAAACTCACCTGACTGACTGACATTCAGGTTTACGATGCTGAGGATTTCAGAGTCCATCCCTGGTCTTCTCTGGAAGGCTATACACTCGTATGTTCCAATGTCAGCAGTCGTCATGTTCATCAGTATCATTGAGAAATCCCCATTCTGCATGTGGGTATTGGTCATTTTTACCCGGCCCGTATAAGACGGATCCTGGTCGTCTGGATCAAGTTGGTCATCACGATAGTGCAGCACGTATTCTTTCAGGTCACGTCTGGACCACTGCATGGCGAGGACTACCATATTTCCAGGAGCATTACATGGCAGAATGACCTGCTGGCCAAGTGAACATATGATGTTTTTGCAGTCTGAAGGACAAAAGAAACAAGACAGAGGTTTAAGAATAAAAATATACATCAGAAATGCATGTACTAAACAAGAAGCACTCCAAGAGCGCAAACCTCCACCAAGGGCACTCACTGTCTAGCCAGTATTTACTTTTAAGGGAATACTATCATATTTTTTTCATATATTTAAGTTGTTTTCTGAGTGCAGTTGTTTGCAGTGCAGTAAAAGTTGATTTTCTAAATCGATACATATAATATCCCACAGCCATAGCAGGGAATGAGCAAGAGAAGAAGAGAGGTGTGAGGAATACGAGGGTGAAGGAAGAAATGACTTTATAACCTATTAATACAGTCAGTTATAACTAGTCTTGTTCTCAGTTATAGCAATCTAATGTAACCGAGGATTTAACAGTAGTTTACAAACTTTTTAGCAAAACCTACTTACCCACAGCGTCAACTATTGAAGTAAGTGCCAAAGAAAGCCATATGCAGATTTGAAGACACATCCTGAAGAAACAATAAAGACAGAGGGATACATCCTTTAAATCACAAAGTGTTTCCTGGGTAAAGTTATTTGCTAGAAAAGCTGGTTTATTCTGCCTCGAAAGAACTTTCAAACTAACAGTTTTGAAAACTTTCAGACATATGACAACTCTAATACTAAGTCTATCACAATAAATAACTTACTTCGGGAGGTTTTTGCACGATCTTTGTGGTGACAGGATTGAACCGGCTGTGAAAATCATCTTCTTCCTCTTGAGTGGTTATTGGCAGCTGAGGTGTGGAAATGGAGCATGGGCACAAGTGTCAGACTGCAGGAAATAAGAGAAAAAACGGTTTCATGTAAAATAATACAAATATCTGCGGTTTTCAGGAGACAAAACAATGAAAAATCAGAGTGTCTTCCAAATGACTAAAACAGCTGATTTGTCCGTTTCCTATTTTTTTTGGCAGTAGTACAATGTTAAACTCTTTCTTCTTGGCTACCTGCCTGGTTTTTAATTTGAGACTCAGATGTTATATCCGTTAACACTATAGGGAGGGAAGCAGGAAGTTTAAATGATGGACCTTACATTACTCTGTGCTTTATGCCAGCTCATCCCAAACTCATTAAATTTGATAGATCTGGCAAATACAGTCTGCTGTGATGCCGAGTGAATATCCATAATACCACATCACAAAAGGACCATCAAGAAAACGCTCAGCATCTGTGCAACAGTTCCTACTATAATGACACCGATGAGTCACATCAAGTGATTTAGCAGTGATTACTCCCAGTACAGTCTTGTATACGATACGAGCTCTGTGCAGCAAACACTGCGTCACACAGCGAGCCACCACTGCCACCACAGATATGCGGCATGTACTTAGCGTTTACACAGCACATAATGAGCGCACGTTTTCTTTGTACAATTACGGAAATCGACACCGTTGAATATAAGTTGGTATCTTGGCTGGCTTCAGACGGTCAGGTCAGACGAGCTAACGTGTCACTGTACTACTGTACGGTCATTTGCTGTTACCGGTTACACAAATACTACCCAAATGCAGGAAGCTAAAGCTAGCAGACTCAGCAACTGGTTCATAGAACTTACTCAGAAGTGCACATCCGAGAAGAAAGTCCTTCAATAAATACAGGAAGAAACCCGCCACACAGACCACTTCCAATCCGAATGATGACACCCTGGACTCAGGTTGCTTCACCCCCTTCGGACAGAAAACCATAGGGGCGTGCTGATTGGTCGGTTGAGTACGAGCCCTGTTTTTGCTCGTACCCTCATTGGTACTCAACTCACGCGGTGTTTCACGAAGTTTCTGTTTTTATCCTTAAATTCCAATATCTTTCCTTATGTTGGCAGAAATCACCGGTTTTATGACTATAATAATGAATATTTATGACTCAGCATTATTGTACGGACCTTGTATTCTACTTTTAATCAGTCAAGTCATTTTTAGAAACTGTCATGTTATATCATACAAAAGGCGTCATACAAAACGTATGACGCCTTTTGTATGGCCTGCTTTAACAACGTGCTAACCTTATTTACAATCAATATTGATTGACGCTTTCTCTGTCAGTGACAGTTTTTACCTGGATAAATGCCAAAACTTGTTGCAGCTTGTACCTTTTTAAGGTAATGTTCTTTCTGTCTGTTATGAACCAAATAGGGCCAGGCAATGACATGAGTGAGGCACTCGCCGTCACTTACATGAACAAACTCAGGTGCAGTACACACACTGTCTAGTTGGGTGCTTACCTATCAGCTGCAGCACCTGTGTGTCCTACCCCGAGACGAATGATTTCTTCTACTCCACTCCTACCACAACCTACATGTTTTTCAATGTTGTATAGATGCTTTCCTGTATCACTGATGTCTCAGTACTCCTGCCATGATCTGTAGGTTTAAGTTCAGCTTTGCCTAATGGTATCCGTAAATCAAATGACTGTAATTTCACCTACTGTTTTGGTAATATGTACAAATCCTCATTTCCTTCTACACTTACATATATGTAACCGACCCAGAGTTTGGGCCGGTAAAACAGATTAAATGTTCCTGCAAAACAGGGAAATGATGAGACAGAGACGACTGGTGAAGTTTCTCTTTGCCTCGCTTCTGCCATATTTATTTATATT